CTCCATGTGGAAATCGAGACGGCTTGATAAAATCTATTCTCATCTCGCATCCATAGATTCCAGCATACTAGTTATGCCAACATTGAGGGTATGCGTGATAATGGTTATGAGAAGATGCCCCCTGTTGAAGAGACGCTGGCCTGCTATTTCTCTATGGGGGACGCATCTTCTTTTAAGGCTCCCTCCCTACCGTTCAAACCCCTTCAGGATACATCTCGTTTGAATGGCAGGGCATATGCGGCAGTATATCAGGCTGCAGTGTCATTGCATACCATGGCGGTGTTTTAGGCTTATCAGGCTGATCTGCTGAAAGACCCGGATAAAGGTCAGGGTCTATCCCCTGATGAGGTGGCTGAGTTGTGTTGCACAACAAATCTTGCTCTCCGTGCCACTAAGCAGGCAGCCACTGCCATTGGCAGCCATGGTAGTTACGGAGAGGCATCTGTGGGTGAATCTGGCGGATATCTGGGGTCGAAAGAGAGGGTCTTCTTGATGCGCCAGTCTCCCCTTCTGAGCTTTTCGGCACTTCCGTCGAGAAGTTTAAGGAGGCCAAGACGCGCTCGGCTGCCTTTAAATCCTTCATTCCACGAAGGTCCAGGTCTGAGCCCAAACAACAAAGGGGTCCTGGCCCGTCTCGATCTAAGGATCAAAGGCGGGCTCAGAAGACTAGTGTCGCGACTCGCGCCCCTCTCCCACCTGCGAGTAGGGCTCAAAAGTGGCGTGGGTCTAAGGGTGACAGGCAAGATTTGAGGGAGGTGATCCAGACTAGGCGTTCTCGACGCTCTCGTCTGGACCAGAGTAAAACCTGAGCCATCTACTCGCCTCCCTCTGAGAGTATTACATCTGCTCACATCTTCCTACCCTTAATTCCCCTAAAAAGCTTCCCTCCTGACTGAGGTTAGGTAGGAGCCTCCTGCGCCTTCATTGCAGTCTCTTATGCTGGGCCTATGATGTTTCGTCTAGTTTCTATGACTCATAGAACTACCTACTGATGGTCTGGACCCCAGTGCTCTTCGGACTTCGCCTCCAGCCTATATCCATGAGCCTGAGTCATGCGTGGGAGCCATGGTTTGTGAGTGCAATCCATTTCATCTACTCTACTGCTAGGTTTTGTGTATTCAATACTAGCCTTTTTCTGCAGCGCTACTCGGACCTGTTCTGTTTTCTGACTTTTTAAGTTTGACCCCCCCTGCTAAGTCAGGGCCCTCCTGCTGTTGACAAATTATAGTGATGGTTTCACTCATCGGTTCTGGATCCAGACTGGTGATAGCCCTCATCTTCAGCTTGGACACGCAGCCTGGGCTTCTGAGAAAGCCTCTCAGCATCAGGTCCCCAGTAAAACGCTGCAACCTCAGGACCTGCGGGTCCTTCTCGCGGGCTAGTACTCTTCCGAGTACATGCTTCGTGACATGCTCCCTATCCTCTGGCCAGGGTGCGCTACTCATCTCTCACCCACTCAAATCTCATCTGAGAGGTCTCCTGAGATTTGAGTCTTTCCTTAACCATCATCCACGTTCTCTGAGCTAGAGTTCCTCTCGCTGATGTCGTTGAGGAGCTCAACACTCCATAGACGGTCAGGCCTCTCTGTCACACTGCCCTTATGGTCGAACCAGTAATCGCCCCTCTGTGGAGTGGGCTTGAGTGCACTGCATTCTCTGAGGTATGAGGAATTTGTGTTTATGTGGAAACCCCTCTTGTATGCTTCTGCTCTGAGGAGCAGTAAGCTCTGTACGCATGAATGGTTATAGGGTCCTGCTATTTCTTCAGATTCTATCGGGTCTGATTATATGGGACCCACGCTCTGTATCGAGATAGAGAGCATGAGACTGTGTCCAGTTGCACCAGTGGACAGTCTCTTATTAGGCCCTGCTGGGTTACCCCTTCTAATCTAGCACCTTCTTCTGGTTGAGCTGAAAAGTGCTCCCCTCAATGTGAGGGTTAGCTATGAGTTGCTCCCAGTATGTGCTGTCAGGTCCCGCCTCAGCTTGAGAGCCCACATTTGCAATGAACTGAGTGTAAGGCTCGTCTCTGTCACCTCCTTGGTCAGTTGCCTTTATTTTTGGACCCTGTTGTTCCCTGTAGAAATGTGTGATCCCCTTCTAGCAGGATCCCATTTCTGATGTCCCATTTGCGAACTATCTGCTCCTCTGACATGGCTGTGCTCCCCTCACTGTGGGAGGGTCCCTTTGAGCTCGCCAGTCCTGGGCAGACTGGGTGAGTCCTCCTCTCGACTTGAGAGTTAGGTCCTGTGACCCTGGGCTATTGATCGCTTCGGTCGAGATGGGTTCCTCTCTCTCCTCACTAGGGGTTGAACCCTCCGCTCTTGAGCTCCGTGGCAGTGACATCAGGCCGCTTGCTGCTTCCCTGATAAGCTGCCTCTATTTGGGTCAAGCCAGGCAGTGCTCCCCTCACCTCGGAGGGTTGTCTTTGAGCCTGCCGCTCCCAATTGAGTGTCTGTGGACTTCTCTCATCGAGTCCTCTGCTCGTTTGAGCTCCATTGAGTAGCAGCCTCAGGTGGTAGGCCTCTCTTCGCCTCCCTGTTGAGCCGCTCTCCTGGTGGGTCAAGCTTAGCACTGCCCTTGGGGGTTTAATATGAGCATGCCCCTCTCGATTGGAGCATCCGTGTCCCCCTTTTATTTTTGAAGTTTTTTTTAATTATGCCAGGCGGCTGGGCCATCTCCTGCCTCCCTGGCAGGTTGCTTGTTAAGTGAGCTAGCTGTGCTCCCCTTACTGTGAAGGGCCTCTTGCAAGCACGCCGCTCCCTTCTGGGCGTCTGTGAACAGATGCTTCGGATTCTGTTCTGTGAGCGTGCCACAGTTACGTAGGGCTCCTAGGCTGGTTTATACAGCTTTGGTTACCCCTTAAGCAATGGTGTTTCTAAATCCATGCTATGGTAAGTGCACACGCTGAGCTCTGTGCACTTTCTAAAATCCACATTGTGGTAAGTGTGCATGCTAAGCAGTCTGCGCACTTTCAAAAATCCTGAATGGTAAGGGTTACGTGCTGTCAGCCTCGTTTCCTTTATCTGAGTTGGTTTAGGTCCCAGTTCTTGCCTTGGGCTCCACTCAACTTATGTATCTCTGTTGATACTTTTCTAAGCAGGGTGTTGCTACCAAAGACCTGTCGAGTCAGTTCTTTGAGCAGGTTTATTCGGAACCGGCGGTAGCCCCGCTGGGTGGCAGGCCAGGGTTTGGTTTGGTTTTAAGACACCTGGCCGTATCCCCTTAAAGGATTCTCTTTCTCCTGATTCCAAGCCTTGAGCTCTGCCCTAGGGCTTCCTAGCCCAGCCCTTAACAGGTAAGTTATTTTAGGGAATGCAGCTCAGGCCCTTGGCCAAAGGGGATAATGTCACTGACAGCCATCAAGACGTCCTTGAGGCAACTCCCATGGCTATGGTAGAGTTGGTACTTAGTGCTCGCCGTGGTTTCAGGCATGCACTACCCTCAGCATGGCGCCGTGGGTATACCGTTCCCCATAGCGACCTCTAGAGGACGCAGTTCAAAGTTCCCTCGGAAGGGAACGTCTCAGGTTACGTATGGAACCATGGTTCCCTGAGAAGGGAGCGAGACACTGCGTCCTCTAGTTCCCTTGCCATGCTTCGGTCGCAAGCTTCATATGAAGAAGCGGATGACGTGTTCCCCCCGCGCCCTTTTATACTCTGGTCGTGTTTAGATGTATGTTTCAGACACTGGTCACGCTGAAGGAGTTCCCCCATAACGACCTCTAGTCGGGTGTCTAGGACTAGGATGCAGTGTCTTGTTCCCTTCTCAGGGAACCATGGTTACATACGTAACCTGAGACATTTTCATGTATTTAGCTGAGCAGTCACTGAATTTCAAGATGGGCCAAAGAAGGGCCATTTTTTACATTTATGTTGGTATAAGAGACTACTTTTATTATTGTCTTTTACATTTAAGTATTTAATTTTAATTTATATGGTTAAAAAATCAAGACTAAAATGTATGCTTTCATTAATTCTAGGTACATAAAACTCATGAGCATTTTTATTTTTGGTCAAGTACCTTTATTAAATGTGCACAAAAAGGCAGATTACAAGCTGTACTTTAAAGCATCCAGGAATGGCTCATGAGCCGTTTAAACCAGTGTGTTGAGAAATCATTAAAATATATTACAATTAATGAAATAATAAATGCTACAATACAACATAAATTACGTTAAAAACATTCAGCTGACACAATGCAATCTCTCCTTGGTCATACTTCATTTAAAATGTCAAACTCAGTTTGCCATCTTAGTTCAAATTTGCTGCCTGACAACAAGCTAGTGTTTTATTGTAACTGTCAATAAAAATTAAACAGTAACAGTTAATTGTCCAAAATAATAAAGCTAAAAAAGCTTCAACACATTTAATACACGAGTTGATAATGATTTGTTGTCAATTTGTGAAGAAATATTTCACACACAAAACACATTAGCACAAGAAACATCTTAATATGCTAGGTTTATGACCTGTACAGCTGTGCTTCCAGCACTGGCCTTGGTAAGGTAAACCATAACCTGAGGCATATCGTCAATGTTTTTGGGTACTACATTCTTACACATGAAAACATTGAATGATAAAAGCATCACAATGGACGGCATGCAAATGAGACTAGCAATAATACATTAAATAAGTACAGTGCGTTAAAACAGCATATGACCTCAAAGGCCTTAGTCGCTCCCTCAGAAAACTCTTTGCAACACACTGGTGCTCTTTCTGAATTGGAGAATATATAGTGCTTAGCTTAACAGTGCTCATTTTTTCTACAATTTATTTTATAATTGTTTATGGCACTGTGTGGCAGTTCCTTGCGTTACATTTCAATGTCTGTAGAACTGAACTGAAGAACAAAAACTGATTCCAAGCAAGTAAAGAGATTCAAATTGATAGCATTTAAACAGTTTTTCAGACTCACTAGAAGAGCATTGTGGGTACAAGCATTGTGCTCACAGGACAACAA